CTAATCTCAGGCCCATCCACATTCAAGATTCGTCAATCGTTTTATTTGTTAATATGACTACATGGTAATAACAGCAACTAGGTGATTAAAAAGGTGCTCGTCTGCCTAGTGGCAAACGTTTTTGCTTACTGAGCAGAAGACCGTGGGTTTAGTCCCAAGCTCCTTCGCGTTATATGATCGTTAGGACATTAATTCAGCTTATCGTTTACCAAAACGAACCCTGCTGCAAACCCAACCCTCTTATCGATTTGCGTACATTTGTGGTTAGCAATATGTATGTCGTTAAAACTGTTAGGAAGTTGAAGAAATCTGTTTCACCGGGTCCTGATGGTGTACCTGCAATCATTTTTTGCCGCTGTGTTGCTGTTTTAGCTGATCCCCTAGCTCGCATCTTTACCGCTTCGTTGCACCAAGGAGTTTTCCCCGAAATATGGAGACATTCCTTTATGTTCCCTGTCCATAAGAAGGGCGACAAACGTGACGTGACAAATTATCGTGGCATAACAAGTCTATCTGCAGCTTCAAAATTATTCGAGATCATTGTGAACGATGCTATCTTCTTTCATGTCAAGAGCTACATTTCAGCAACGCAACACGGATTTATGCCAGGACGCTCAGTTACATCAAATTTGCTGGAGTTCACCTCAACATGTATAAATCACTTGGAAAATAGGGCTCAAGTAGATACCGTTTATACCGATCTGAAAGCGGCATTCGATTGCATCGATCATGGTATTCTTCTTCGGAAAATGTCTCGCCTGGGAATTTCGGATGGTTTGGTTGATTGGCTGAAATCATATCTTTCCAACAGAACACTTCGTGTCAAGCTGGGTTCGTGCACTTCATCACCATTTGCTGCAACCTCCGGTGTTCCCCAGGGCAGCAATTTAGGACCATTGCTGTTCACAATCTTCTTCAACGATGTGACGCTCCTCTTGCCGAGTGGTTGTGTGCTCATATACGCCGATGATCTCAAACTATACATTGTTGTCAAGAACGTCAAGGGTTGCCGTCAGCTCCAAGCAATGTTAGACCAATATGTTGATTGGTGCCGCTTAAACAAGCTTTCCGTCAGTATATCAAAATGTGTGGTCATGACATTTAATTGCACAAGAACGCCAATCGTATTCGATTACTCAATTGATGGATTTGTACTAGAAAGAGTAGAACAAGTAAGCGACCTAGGTGTAATGCTGGACCCTAAACTTACGTTTGACTTACACCGTTCAATGGTAATCACTAAGGCTAATCGTCAGCTTGGTTTTATATCAAGAATCTCAAGAGATTTTTCGGATCCGTACTGTTTAAAAGCACTGTACTGTTCACTCGTTCGTCCGATTATCGAGACTGCATCTGTTGTTCGGACTCCCTACCAACTTTCCTGGAACATCAGAATAGAACGTATCCAAAAAAACATTCATTCGTCGAGCATTAAGACAACTTCCTTGGAGAGATCCACTAAACTTACCTCCGTATGCTGAGAGATGTCGCTTGCTAAGCATGGACACGTTACAGCGACGGCGACAAATTCAACAGGCAACATTCGTCGCGAAGTTATGAAGTGGTGAAATTGACTCTACCCACTTACTCTCTTGCTTGAACTTTCGTGCGCCAAGCAGATTTCTATGCTCAAGGTTCCTATTGCGTCAAAACTCACACCGCTCTTCTTTTGGACAACATGACCTGTTACGAGTATGATTCGCACGTTTTCTACAGTTCAAGAGTTGTTCGAGTTTGGGGAACCTGCTGCTCAATTCCAGAGACGTATTATTAACTCCAGATACATTTAGTATTTGTTATGGCTTCTGGTTCATTAAGACTTATTGTCAGATGGATGTATTAAATAAAAATAAAATAAAATAAAATAAAATAAAATTCGTTTCAGCGTGGAGTCGCAGCGCTGAACCTGACAATTGGCCTTAAATTTGAGTCATAACAGACGTGAAATATAGCTCAATCAAACGTACTTTTCGTCGAGCAACGAAGTTTTCAGTTTCGGAGTACGTAATATTACATGACATGTTTGTTTACGTCTCATCTTTTATGTCAAAGATGGATTCCGTCATGTGTAAAATTAGTTATTTCTAAGTGTGTATCAAAAATCGACTACATACATCCGATCATCAAATCGAGGGAAGACATTCCTCTCAACTACCATAAACCGGACTAGTTCATGTTGATCTTCGTCAAGCTTCGTCAAGCTTCGTCTACAATTTGGACTTCTACATCAACACATGTCAAGCTGCCTTCAGGTTGGTGAGTTCGTTCTTTTTTGTAAATTTTTATCTTTTCAACCAGTAACGTTGGGAGATCACCTTTTGGTGTTGGTAACTAGTATAAGATCAATCACCGAACCCTAGTCGTGACAACTTCAATCTGGGGAATCAAGATTTTCCAGTAATCAAAGGATCACATTTTAGTTCTTGTTACTTTTTATGACTTGATAATAGTGACAAGACTCGGGTAGTGACCACCGCCGTTATGCATTTCTATATTGTATATTTCAATTCAAAAATATTTTTTTTTTTTTTTGAAATGATGAAAAAACCGATTTGTACCTTCCTTAAAAGTTGTCCTAGTTCGCTATTCTAATATCTATATACAATCTTCACACTGCCGTACTCTAACGGAACTATCAACTCTATGCTTTCATCTACTCCATCTATCGTATTAAAATTACCACTACAGTCTGTTATTTGAAATTAGCATCTTCAACTATCAAAAATATTGTTAATGTTCATAGAGTTTAAATAATCCTTTTCCCTTTTGTCCTTCGCCTATTCTTTTGCCCTCTTCTGTTTGCAGAAAACGAGTAATGGCGCTATAGCCATATGCCTTAAACGGCTAGGACAAGAGTTAGTGCTCTTGGCCCAACCTTCAGGAGAAAATGGAGCATCACTTAACATTTCTAGCTTGGATGCTTCCAACGACCAACCAATCATATAATTACCAAAATCGGAACATACGGTACGAGATGTTCAAGTTTCTTCCATTTATTGAATTCTGAAGCATCGTGTTTAAATCTTTGATTTAAACAAGCCCGATGTTTTCTGAATCATCTTGCCCCTTAAATGCTGCACAGTAAGCCTGGCCGTTTTGATATGTGTGACGCATCTTCAATGTGAAACAAACTTCAAATAGACAAGAAAAATGATGGAGATATATCCATCATTTTCCAGGATGCTTTCAAGAACTGGCTGTGTAAGTGTTAGATTAGATTAGATTGAGCTTCTCTAAATTTCGCTAAATTTCACTGTAGGTAATTGAGCTGACAGTAAACTATTTGTGTAGGAAATTTCTCTTGAAACATAAAAAAAAACTTTTTTTTAAATGCTGGCGTCGTGGATAAAACTGATGCATTTATTTAAAAAATTCCAACAGACCAGTGACCAGAACATAGCAGACTCGGGTAAAACCAGGTAAAGCTTGTAAATTTCGATAACTAATTCATTCTCTCTACAGATAATAAAATAAGTCTCTGGATCTTGAACAAATTTAAAGACCCTTAGACAAGACTCAATTTTCAGAATACAGTCACTTTTAAGGAATTTAAAAAATCTATGAAAATTCCAATGGACTTCTGAAGCGATTTTAAAAAGTTCTAAAAAAAAACACCATAATATTTCAGACAAAAATTTCCATGGAGTTATGGAAAGAACTCAAAGAAAGTATTGATTAGTATTCGAAGTCAGTTGAACGAAAGAGTCGCTGCTTTCTTTCAATTTGCGATTTTGATATAAAGTTCGTAGAAACCTTGCAAGTGAAAAACTTAATTTAAGTTTTTTTCTATTTGCCCCAGAACTGCTCCATAGGGACCACCTTAATTTCACTGAAAGCTATAGATTGACTAAAAAATATGTAAAAACTTTCACGAGAGCATCATTCTCCTAAAACTACCGATTTAGACACAAACATTTTTGCCTTCGTACATACGGCTTTGAGACAATTGAGGGAGTTAGAAGGAAAGAGGTCTAAGTGACTTTGATCGATTCACTTCATCGACATTCTCTTTTGATAGCCACAGCTTTATAAACAGAGCGCCGGAGACGAACCAGCGTTCGGCTGAAAGTCTCCTTAATAAAGATAACAAACTAACTTATAAACAGATTTTGCGCTATTTCTACCACATAGTTTGATAAACGAGGTTCTCATCTAGCATCCAGAATGGCACACGAATCAAGGAATGTGTTTGCAGCTGAATTATTAACGAAAGAGAAAGTCGATGAAGAGAATCTATCAAAGTCACTTACACCCATTTCCTTCTAACCCACTCAATTGTGCAATGGTTCTATTGTTCGTAATGGAATTCATAGGATCAACGATTCTGGACACAGGTAAGTCAAGATCAATTTGAGAACAAGGTGTGATTTATGCGGGTTGTGTAAGTACCGGTTATAGTTTAACCCTGTTGCAAATCTGTAAGCGAATGAAGCATTTGAATTTGAACAAGGGAGATTATGGAATGGAGTTGTCCATATACCGTGTGGACAGTTTAAGGGAAGATACGAGATAGGTTGACACACGTCCAATTCATTAACAGTTTTCACTATACAAATGACTCAAAGACAGTTCACGCGAAATGTGGACATCTCCCTATAACAATTTGAAACATCTGGAAATCAGCGCCAGTAAAGCGAACGGCACTCACCAAAAATTCACCACACCCTTTCACTGCTCGAGTGGTGAGTTTTCTCCGTTCGTTCTCACTAGCATCTCCCATGCATTATCACTTCTCACATCGCATTCTCACTGCATGGCATCCCTCTCTCAACAACAACACGCTCAATCGCATTTTCCAGGGGAGAGTGCTTCAAGCTCAAGCACTTTTGAGCACTTTTCCGAGCCAGCTGAGTTTCCCGAACTCTCCATATCGACGGGTTGGAATGCATTTTTAACGAACTTCAGTCCCATTCGTATTCCGTTCGCCATCGGACGTGTCTTTTGGTTCCTTCCGGTCGGTCGCGGCGTCCGTCCGCTGTTCTCAACGACAACAACAACAATCTCGCTGTTCCTATTAATACATATGTCCTAGCTTCGATAGATTCCGTCAATGTCTTCGGAAGGAAAATAATCATGTTGATCTTTCCCATTTCGCACGGAGACAGTCAAGAGGACATTTAATTAAAGCTAATTAAGGACCATCTTTGAATATACGGTCCAGGCTACTAAATAGGCTGGCAGTGCTCAATGGCAAAGGATGCGAACCGCGCCAGTCCAGTCGTTCTGTGTTTGGCTTCGTGATTTGTGATAGGATAGTGGGTGGTCATTATTCTCAAAGGGACGTTGGCGGGTTTGTTTGTGCTGGTGATTAGAGTTGGCTGGCTGTGCAGATGCTGATGAAAACATATCTCCTCGATTATATTTACGCTGAAGAATTCATCACCCCCTACCCCATGAAGACCGGGTCCATCGCAGGCTTGTTCGGATTATGGAGTGGGTCGTCGTCGTCGTTGGTAGTCTCGAGAGGAAGAAGTGAATAAAGAAGAGTGGTGCTCTCGGAGAACACAGAAAGAAGTGTATTAAGCAGCTTTCAACGACAAGGCTCCTTGAAACAAGTCTCCTGCGTTCGGTCTGTTTGTGTGTGAATAAGGCGAACTTTCCCTTGCATCAAAGCGGCAGAGACGGAGCGTGGGAGGAGGACAAACCAGGGGAAATCCGACCCCAACAAGGCCGGAAAGTTTGTGCTCGAAGTTTGCATGTATCCGAGTGGTTCGAGTTAGGGACGACGTACCTGCTTCGGAGTGACTTTGGGAAAAGTGAGGGCGGGTTAGGAATACGATTTATTTCAATACCCCCTCACCTCGCTCAGCACCATTGTGGTGCCGTGGATGAAGAAAAAAGTTGATCAGTCCAAGGCAGCCAAGTGGGCGAAATGTGGCTTCCGGAAATTAAAGAACGACATCGACAGCAGCCTGCTTGAAATGACTAGCGAGCCAAATTGAAAGCACACTCTTGAGCTGGACTCTGAAGGCGGCGGGAAGAAGGTGGATAAAGGAGCGGTGGTGATTGTGCTCTATTTTGTGAAAGGATTTGCTGACAGTTTTGGAGGAGGACCGTGCAGGGAAGAAGAATGCTGGTGAAAATTGTCGTGGGAGTTCTCAGCCGGCTACTGATCCTGACAGGTGGGTGCCAAAGTGCTTCGTAATGGTAGATGGGGGAGCGAGTTCAGGAGGGAACGGAGATTATTTGTTTGGTGAGCTGACAAGCTCTCATGCCTAATCTATTGTTGTTCAGAGGGAGCCGGATGAAAGGGTGGATGAGTACTAATTTTATTTTTATCATGGACTTTTTCTGATGATGATTATGAAGAATGGCTGAGAGGTTTTCGTCCGAACTAATCAATAATATTTGTTGGAAGGGAGGTTTCCGAATAACTGAAACCGTTATTTGTAGATGGCGCAAAATTGATATGCTACTACCTCGCCTGTCTATGAACCACGTGAATAGGATGACCTAGCAGGCAAAGATATTGACGAATTTATTGAATTAGTCAATTCAATAAATTTGTCAATATCTTTGCCTGCTAAGTCATCCTATTTATGTGGTCCATAGACAGGCGAGCTATTAGCAAATCAATTTTGCGCCATCTACAAATATGGTATCAGTCGATTGTTTGGTATGGTGCATTTAAGACCTTTAAGGAAGTATTTTCGAAGAGTTGAAATCCATGGACCATGTTAAATGATTGAACAAGATATTTATGGTGAAATTAAGATGAAATTTCATTACATCCGTAATGGTTTTAACCAAATTGTCATAGGGGCTTTAAATTCGTTTTGATGATCTGCTTTCTCTTTTTTACGGATAACACATATTGGGTTATTTGTATCAAATCAAAGTTCTACACAACTGGAGCTACTGTGCTGCCGCTCATCGCAAGTCGGTCCCATTTGCGTTTTGGTTAAAACCGAGATTTTCAATGGAAGTGATAGCTATACAGCCATAGTTTAATAATAATGGATAAACTCAACAACTTTGTTCTGGAAAAGCTTTGAAAACAGCCAAACGGGTTGTACCATTGCTGAAGAAGCAATGGTACGAAGTTAACTTAAAACGCGTTTTTCTCAAGTTGCTGATTTGTGCTATGGGACGGACTTCCCAAGCAATATTGCTAGTTTTATCGAGTAGCAAAGCATTCTACAAGTCTAAATTATTGTCTACAGAACCCTCATAAAACCATAAATGTTACTTGGGTTGCCATGAGCGGCAGTGTGTGCTTGTATCTAAAATTTAATTACCTCTGTCTGGCAGTGGAAATATGGATAAAATTTATCTGCAATCATTTCTTATGAATGCTAGAAATTTGCACCCAGTAGTTAGAAGGTAACCGTTCTATCGTAGTTCCAATAACCCATTTCAAGAAAGCGGACATTTTGAAGCTTTTTTCATACACGATAAGCCCCGTTTCAATACATTATCGATGCTTACATACAGCATTGATGATGTACTGAAACTTTCAACCAATATATTTGATTGACTTATGATTAGTAACCCTTAAAATTATCGCTTTAATTTAGATGGATAAAACCTATAGAGGACCGAAACGGCAAATGTTAGTTGGGACAAACAACATCTGATGCAACGGGAAGGGAGGTATTTGATAGCTATCACTTACGGCACTTGTCAATTCCACTTCAGTACTTTCAATTAAAACTTTTAAAACCAGAAGTTGTAAATTTTTATCATTTTCACAAGAACGAAAACGACGCAGCAAAACTAAAACAGGTAATTTTTCCAGAGCGGCTTACTTCGATCTCCCTCAACTGTAGCTGCTGGATGTTAAATTAACAGCTACAATTTTGACATGAACATTTTAACTATCCAATAGAAATAAATGAATATTTGATCATTATTAAATTTTACATGTAGTATTGCTTTTTATAATTACTGAGCTTAAAATAATATCAAATTCAGTAACTTAGCTTAAAAAAATCAAAAATATCAGTTTTGATGGCAATCTTATCAATTAAGCTTTTTTAGGGGTATTGAGGTAATGGGTTGTTTAATTTTGAAAAATATTTCGGTTCTTATGTATCATCTCAAAGGGTTTCGTTTTCTGAGCACAACGACATTTTTTTCAATCCCTTTCACTTCCATCTCGACTTTGAAATCAAGATTTAAATCAAAATAACCACTTCATTGTTTGATACAACACTAACAAATTGACAGCTCGCTCAACAAATTTCAATCGATTGTACCTGTGTCTCCTCGAGATCGTCAAGTTGACGATGACAGGAGCACACATCCACATATCGTAGGTACACGAGCAAATAGGTGATCATCTCTTTTTGCCAGTGATGGCATCATTCCTCTCCAACTGGGGAGTTTGGTAAAAAGCGATGATCAACCAGATTCGTACCTTCCTCAGAGTTGTCCTTGCTAGCTTTCTTCTCTCTTTCTACATTTTTCAAACTGCTGTACTCTAACGGAACTATCTACTTTATACTCTCATCTCCTCCATCTATCGTATAAAATTACCACTTTACGTCTGTTATTTGAAACTTAGAATCTTTAACTAAGTACACAATGTTTTCCTGAAAAATGAAGGACAACTTTTTGAAAAGGTTTACATTTATAGTTTTTTTTATCTAATAAATTTATAATGACAAGGTCTAGTATGTTTTATTTTCTAAAAAAAAGTAATCCAGTTCCCTACAGCTTAGAAAAATATCGAATAAGTTATTTTGAAAAATTAAACGTAAGTTTGGGCGGAGTAGAATTCTAGCACAAACATAATTATTTGCCCCTAGCGAATAATTATGCGAAGAAATTCTTAGACATAAAATCTAATTACTAACTAGACAAACTTTTTTTTTTTATTATTATAGTCACTTTAACACTCTTGGGTCATTCGTGACTTGTCCGGGGGTGAGATTTGAACTCGTGACTTTGGCGTGAGAGGTATGGATGCTAACCACTACGCCGGGGTCGCCCCAACTAGACAAACTAAACTGATCTAGAAAAAATGAACTAAGCCTCCGGCGAAGCAACTGGCGAGTCTTGTCAAAGTCAAACAGTGCGAAGACCCTATTGAAGAGTCTCTGTAAACCACCGATTGCACCGAACATGCCATAATTAGTTCGCTGTATAAGCAGGCGCAGCATTGAATTATTCCGTAGGGCTCGGGGTTGAACATTGCTGTCCACAGGGCAATCGGTGCGTCCTTGCAAAATATCCGCAATTAGAAATACTCTTACTGTATCTCTTCGAACCGACAGAGACTCCAGATTAATCAGTTGCAAACGACTTTCGTAGCTAAGCAATCGGAACGGATCCGTCCACGACGGTTTACGTAGCGCATATCTCGGGAACTGTCGCTGAATAGGCTCAACGCTTTCGACACCGTTTTTGTAGTGAGGAATCCAGACAACCGAGCAGTATTATAATATGTACCGAGACAAGGAGCATTACAACGATTTAAGGCAGTAGATATCCGTGAAGTCTTTGGCAATCCTGAAGATAAACTCCAGAATTACGACAGATTTAGAGATGTAGGAAGTAAGGTACAACAAGTTAGAGGCAGTGGAGCGACCAGCCATGAAATCATGCTGGTCTATGCTAATATACGGCTTACAGTGTGCGGCTCCGGTTCCATAACAACGAGTTCAAACAATTTAGCAACAGCGCTATGCAAAGTGATGCCACGGTAGTTGCCAACGTTCTATTTGTTAACCTTCTTGTGTACTGGAAACATATGCGCTAGCTTCAACAGTATAAGAAAACGCCGACGTCCACGGACCGTTGAAAAACGTGCAGCAGACAACAGGCTGTCAAAGTGCGTTTTGAGGAATGCCGATGGAATTATGTCAGGACCCGACGAAAACATCTCGGGATTGGTGTCAATTCTGCTCATGGTTTGGCCAGAGAGTGAAGACACTAGCAAATTTTTCAGTTAACAGCTCATAGATATCTTGCGTGGATGAGGCCACGTTACCATCATGCATCATAGGCGACGGAAGACCAGCTTCATGCCGTTATTCGTAGACAAACTTCAAAAACTGCTTGGGACGTGACTTAAGCTTTCTGTGCAATTCACGTCGATACTGAATAAAGCATTGTTTCGCAACTCGTTTGTATTCGTGATTGATCCTGACATAGTGATGTTGAAGGGATAGTGTGCCGTGCTTGATGAATTTCTTAAACTGCCTAATCCTTTAGAACCGTAGAATCAGGACCGATTGAATTTTACCTCAAAGCCGTGTGTAAATCAGCCCGTGATCGCACCGTGCCATCCTGCACTGATACCACTGTCCGTGGCAACCGTACCAAGCTCGATCTAGTTGCTGCAAAAGAGGCTGGAGAATAGCCCACCCCATCTGGTCCCCGTGGTTTTAGACCAGGGACCTGGGGCATTGTAGTATTATAGTGACCCTCAGCCCACATCTAGACTCAGGGCCAGGACGACTTGAATGAACGCAGGCAGCAATAGGCGCGACTGAGCTAGAGGAGCTAGGGACTCCAAAATTGCTTTCTACGGTGCGTCCTGGTGCAGCATTATTCTTGGAGATCGTGGAAACATCTACGGTGTGTTTCGGATGAGCAGATGGACCATTCGAGAATAACTAAGACGTATCGTTTAGACTCGAGGGATTCGGGAGCACCTGGAAACTAATCACACGAATAATTGAGATACTTGCCTGAGCAAGCGTGGTGGAAGGTTCCCTTTTCACCGCCGAAACGACTATGATGACCGAAGGCGACATTACGCAGGACTCAATTGGGGTTATTGGGAGCTTTCATCAGGCTTTCTACGGCGTGTCTCGGATGCTGCGAGTATGTTAGGCTAAGATTTCGTCGTTCATTTAATTTATAGGTCTAAAGATAGTCTATTTCCAGATCAGAAGCTGGAGGAAAGTAAATTCGAGAAAAAACACAACTAATAGTTCCATTTTATAATTTAAAAAAAGTTATTCGGAATCCCTCGGTGGACTATTTTCAAACAGGTGTCAAATGAAAGGTAAAAAGATATAATTTCAAATGGTGAACGATTCAACGATGCTAATATTTTTGATATAAATCTTCGCCATTGACACACCGCGAAGCCACCGTAATGAGCAGTAATTGTTTTGTCTTTGAAATTAAATTTAACTTTATATGGGATCAAGGCTATAGACAGATTCTG